AGGCGACTGAACTCCTCCCAGCAGTTCATCGCCCCAGCCAAGAACATACCCTCGCGAGGCTGTTCTTCCTTGTATTGTTCATCATCATCAGCCTAAGAGGCAATCCACCACATCACGCACTGGAGTAGGGTATTACACCACAACGGTGGCCCGAACCAGTATAAACCCTGCGTCTTTTGTGTTGTTCTTTCCTTAGTTTAGATCCTAGCAAGGCGGAGGAGTGCAGGTAGGCAGGAGGCGAAATCTCCGCGCGCACCCTAGTGTTCGAACCTCAAAGGTCTGCCGGAACCCAAAATCCGACAAAAAACTCTTCACGATCCTACATGCTATACAATTGGCAAATCAAGAAGTTGTTGATTTAGAAACTTATACCACAGTTCTTTGAGTTACCCATGTACTTGTTACCATGCTCATGTACATATAGAAATTATTAGCTCAAATCAGCATCATTTTAATAGAAACAACATGAATCTTAATATAATGTACAACTGTTAAAAAAATTGAATGGAACAATTATCAGAAAAAGTGCATGTCATATAAGGTGGTCAATCAAAAAGTTGCCGAATTGGAAACTTACTACAGTTTTCTCATAATTGTTGACTTCCTCCTTCCGCTATTAAAAATATTGTTGAGTTCCTCCTGTAAGTGCAACAGTGGTCATGTATTATCAGCTCAATTCAACATTGACTTGTTTGAAGCAGAATGACACATATTTGCTATGATGAATATGTAAATAAATTCTGTACAATTCCATAAATATTTTTTCTTTCATACACAGTGACGCATTTTTGTTGTAAAGATCATGTAAATAATTTTTTATAACTTTGCAAATAAGATTAACCTTGATGTATAAATTCGATCAGAGTAGAGGTAGCTTTGAAAGGGCATTCGTCACATCATTAGTCTAAGGCTCTAACCACTTCCGTGGAGAATCTAACATCTCAACTACGCATAACTGTTTGTTCCAGAAGCCACGAAATTGAGGTACACAAAAGATGAACAAACCTGAGAACTGATGATCCAAAGATGAGTCGGAGTTCGAGCATCACATAGCCGTCAGCTGTGGTTTCTTGTAGGCGGATGTGTCTCGGACCTAAGTTGCTGCAGCTGGACCGTGGTTACATGCATCCTTGCTTGGAGGCAGCGGTGCTGGGAGATATGCATGCTCAAGGCGAAGAAGTGGACGAAGGCCGAAGAAGCAATCTGTGCCTCCCTATCGCTCCGTCCTGCTCCTCAATTTGTCACCTTAGTTATTATGGCTACCTTATCCCTCATGCTGCTGATTTAAACCTGCCCTACTCTTCTTCTCCTAGGTGGATCGAGCGCTTCAGCTGGTGCCTCGCAGACGACGGGGAAGGAAGGATTAGAAGTGACGGCTATAGCGCTAGGAAATTGGAAACCCTAGCAATTGATCTTCTCTATAAAACGTGTGTGGCAAGGGACGTGGAACCTGCTTCAGAGAAGAAGAGATGGAACATGTGAGAGAAGAGACCAGCTAGATTGCATGTATCTTTATCGGACAGACAATTCTTTCTTTTTGCCAATTGCTAGTCCATATTGTCCATGTGTTCGATGCATGCAAACGTGTGGCTTTTGGAATCGGTAGGTACACTTGCTATATTGCTCTCGGATACGTGTAAGAGCTTTATTTTTGAACTTAAAAATAGCCTTATTTTTTATTTTCGTTTTTTCTTTCCAATTCGGACATGCATCAGTTCATGCGTGATTGCATTGGACTCGAGCAATACGTGTCCATGTAGTCCTTCCCGTGTGTGCTAGTCTTATGGTTCTTTGCATATAACGTGACAACATATAAGTTCAATACTGCTGGTACATATATTTTTACATGTTACGTAGAAAATTTAAATCTCAGCCATTATTATCTTAATCCAACGGCGTAAAAAAGATTAACACATGTGGACAAACGTGATGGCTTCTTTTACTCTTGTTTTAATTATATAATAGATAGATGCATCAACCGCGTGTGTAGCCGTGATAGTCTTTTTTCGGCGGAGTCCGGGAAGTGAACATGGTTTTGGAGTTATGTTTGAACGTAAGTAGTTTTAGGATCACTTCTAGCTTCTCGACCATTGCGTTGCTTCTTTTCTCGCTCTTATTTGCGCATGTTAGCCACCATATTTGATTAGTGCTTGCCGCAGCTCCACCTCATTACCCTATCCTACCCATAAGCTTAAATAGTCTTGATCTCGAGGATGTGAGATTGCTGAGTCCTCGTGACTCACGGATACTTCCAAACAGTTGCAAGTGCCGATGATACCAGTGCAGGTGGCACAACCGCGCTCAAGTGGGAGCTCGATGAAGATCTTAGTCGTTGTTTTTGTGTTTTTTTTGGATGATCAGTAGTGGTGCCCAGTTGGGACGATCGGGGATCTAGCATTTGAGGTTGTCTTCTTTTATTTTGGTTCCCTAGTCGGACCTTGATTGTACTCTGGATGATGTATGTTTAACTTGTTATTTGTGTCAAGTGGGGATTGTAAGCCAACTCTTTATCCCTTTCTTATTCAGTACATGGGATTGTGTGAAGATTACCCCTCTTGCGACAAAACTACCATGTGGCTATGCCTCTAAGTCGTGCCCCGATCGACACGTGGGAGATATAGCCGCATCATGGGTGTTACAAGTTGGTAATCAGTGCCATCCCCGACTTAGGAGCCCCCTGCTTGATCGAATCACTGACGTTGTTGAGTCTAGAACAAAATGTTTTGAGTCTTAGGATTATATATATCGGAGAGTAGGATTCTTTTTACTCCTCAGTCCCTTCGTCGCTCTGGTGAGGCCTCCTGACGTAAAAGTTTTGACTTTCCTCTCCTCAAATTTCACGATTTCTTTTAGGATCATGCGGGTATCTTGGAATCGTTCTGATAGTCTTGTGACGAGAACATTGTTCTTGGTGCCTCCTGACATTTAGGGGTTGTGGCAGTGTTCCGGGGAGTTGAGCTCCGAGGTGTTGTCGTCACAATTTTATCGTTGCAGTTCTGGAATACCTGAGTTCGCCGACATTGAAAATCTCTTTTATGCAGTTGTTGGTGAGATAACCTCAATGCCACCCAGTACTGGGGCGGGAGTTCAGGAGTATTGCTATAGCCTGTATAACGGATGTTTTTCGAAGGTTGAGGTACACGATTTCCGAAGGTTTCTTGGTTATGTGTTGAAGGATGGATACAGCTGGATGTAGGAATTGTTAGTTTGGTGAGATATTATGCTTCCCCTGTATTCCCAACACCTGATTGTATAGCCAGAAAGTTTTGGGAGTTTATAGGTGGGAATTCAATTAGCTCCTAGAATATCTTTCCAACAGACACATGATACAATATGGGATCTATCATATGTTTGTTTCCGGTTTATTCTGCAAGACAAATCCTTTGTTTGTTTTGAGTTGTGGTATTCGAGTTGCTTCAGTGCCAAGTGTTGATTCCATACCTTCCCTAAACGGTGTTCTCATATTTCTATGTGAATATTAATCCTTCTTGATCATCGAGGTTGCCATGTTAATTCTCTTCCAACCGACGTGCTTCTCTTCAAGTGGATCCAATCATTTCAACATTAGTGAGATCAATTCTAAGTTTTCTCAACGGTATCCATTCCATCTGCCCAAGTTGCCTTTGTTTTCCCGCCCTCCCATCCTTTTTCTTCAAGGATTCAGATTTCTTAATCAAGTATCCTTTTATTGATGGGAAGCCTCTCCATTCTTTTCCGTCAATGTTCTTATCCGGTGATTCTCAGGAAAATACTAATGGAGCTTCAAGTTCAGCATTCTTCGTTCTCTTTCTTCTCCGGTGGATTCAAGTCAAGCTTTGTCGAATATATCTTTTCCTCGTTTCAAATGTTTTCTCATGTCGGTGCACCTCTTAATCATCCACTTCTCGCTATTCAATTGTTCCGGAGTGCTGAAGATATCTCAGAAGATTCAAGTTTCCATTCTCAATTCGCTCAAGTTCTTTTGAGGATGTTATCTCATTCAAGCCATTTAATTCAACCGACGCATTCTCTCTTTTAAATTGTTCAACAATGTATCTTTTGAGTGGGCCCTAACCCATAGGTCTTTTCCCAGGATCTTACCTGACTCTTCTAATTTTCCCGGAGCTATCCTCAATTCTTTCAAAGTTGATGTAAGAATGAATTATCACCAGTCTTATGTCTTTCTCCAAGATCTTTCAAATTATTTTCATTGTTGATTCAACCTTTATATTCTTCATTATTCCGGAGTGTCTCAACAATTCATGGTGGTGTTTCTCGTCATCATTCTCGGGTTTGTGAAGACCGAAGAAGAGTTTCTCTTAAATCTTGCTCCATTGTCTTCAAGATTCATGGTTCTAGCTTGATGCCATCCTCTCATAATTGTTTTCGATTGTGAGAATTCTTTTCACCCATCCGGAGCAATTCAGTTGTATTTTTTCAGTTTGATTGTTTGGAGCCCATCATCTCAGAATTTTTCATCCTAGCTTTTAGCTCCCGTTCTCCAAATCTTACCGGTGCATCGTTCAAATATCCTCTAATTAACTTGTGATCTCTTCGTTCTCATGTATCTAAATTCCCTCAAGTATCTTCATTCGTTCTCTAATTCTTCCCGGTGTTTCTTTATCTTTTCTTTGTTCAGTTTCGGTTCTTACGGTGGTTCATTCAAGATTTATCTTCCTTCATATTAATATCAACTTATTCGTTGGTTAAATCCTACCGGTGGTCCATTGAGTTTATGGTATATCTCTCTTAATCCTTTCAACGAGAATAAGTAGTATGCCAAATACATTGCTTGTCATCAATTTAAAATGGTGAAGGATAAGCATAATGTAATTCTTATTCTTGTTTCATCGAGTAAATTCAATTCTTTATTCCAGAGGTTCGTCAAAAAATTCTCGGTTTCAATTATTTCATCTTTTCTTTCCCGGAGTTCCAAGCTCTCTCTATCATCACGAAGATCCATCTAAATCATTACAAGGTTTCACCTTGTGTTTTCAACTTCTCTTTCTTTTTATCATCATTTTGTTACTGGAGTTCTTCATGGAGGCTCTACATGGTGGTTCATCAAGGATTCCTTTCATTCTTCAATTGTTCGTCAAGATTTCTCTCGAAGCTATGATCCGCCAAGCTATACTTCAAGTATTCTTCATCTTGCATTCCAAAGTGCAATTCTTCCTACCTTATCTTTTGAGGTGGTGTTATGTCATTTTTGACAATTTCTTTGTGTTTCATGATTCACAAGTTCAGGAATGACATATTTTAAACCCATCATTTTCAATTCGTTCATGAGAGCCTATGCAACCCATCAATCTCTTCATTGGAATTATCTTGGGTTATATTTCACCTAAAGCTTTCCGTAAGGATTGTTGCTATTTATGGTGCTTATAAATGACTCAAGATCCTCATTTATCCTCCCGATGAAATAAGTTTCTCGTCTCCTTGTTGATATCAATCCAATCTATTGTTTCCATTAGTGGCAGAATTTCACCTCATAATTTTGAGACGTTTTCCATAAGCCCACTACAAGCTTATTCTTTTCTTGTTGATTTTCCTACAACTCCGTTCAACCCTTCTTCGTAAGGATGCTTTCCAAATTCAATTATGGTAGAAGTTATCGTTTCCTTCTACGTTCTCTTGTTCCGATGATCTAGCTTCTATTCATCGGCTCCGAAGGCATTGTGATGTTTTCTTCGACTCATCATATCATTTTGGAGATCATGTTCTTTTCATGGTTGTCCTTTTAATCGGATTGTTGTGTTCTCATTCTAGTTCTTTCATCTTATCAAGTCTTGCCTCTCTTTTATACCAGAGTGCTGTCTAAATTCTGGCATTCTTGTTCCTTGGCTATTTAGTTATACCAGTGTGCCTTCATATTCTTTTGGTTCATTAAGCTCTTGTTTCGCAATGCTCCTTGTTCCTCTTTTCCAACAGAGTGTTTTCAAATTCGTTCATCTCCATTATATTCTTTCTTTCGATTTGTTCAACCTCGCAAGGTTCTTTGGTTTCACTCATTTGTAAAAGAGCAACTTAGTTTTACCTCTTCCCCTTCCTCTTCCGTTTCTCTGGTACCATCCTAGATCTCGGGACGAGATCCTCTCAGAGTGGTGGAGTGTTGTAACACCCCGGATACAACATTCCATATTTGTAACTCCGACTCTTTCCATTTTCGGCCACGTGATATGATATTCCCTTCGTGGTTGGGTTTTGTTTTCGTTTTGCATTTCATATCATGTCATCATGAGCATCGCATTTGCATTCGAGTTCGCCTCATGCATCCGAGCATTTTCCCCCCTTGTCCGTTTCTCAATCCGACACTCCCACGTGCACATGTCGCACCCCTCTTGTCTCTTTTCGTGTGCGGGAGAAAAACATTCTTGGAATAGGTTAAGATTTGTCAAGTGGCCTTGGTACACCACCGGTAGACCGCCTGTCAAATTTCGTTCATTTGGAGGTCGTTTGATGCCCGAACGGTTAACCGGGTAACCGCAAAAGCCTCTTTGTGT